AAATTTTGCTGAAAAATTCTATAAAGAATCTATTTCTTAGAAATCTTATGAGTAACAGAGGTTAGATAAACACTAAATGTGACCCATAACTATACAAAGTAATAATTTAGAAGTTAGAGTAATTGTAGAGATTGCTCTTCTTTCTGTCTATTCTGTTCCCCTACAGACGTCTGCACATGAATAATGTCTCGTGCTAATATGTGAACTACTTCCTTATTGCATATCTGGATGAGGTATGGTGAAAAAGTGTAGATAAAATATTTTAATTCTGCAGGAATTGTACTAATTACTTTTATTATTATTATTATTTTCAATATTTTGATGTTTTTTTTGTTTTTGTTTTATTAAGGTGCCTGATCATGAAATGTCAGGTGATGGACTTGGAAATGATAATAATGGAGATGATGATGACAGTGATTTTGATATAGATGAAACTGATCTTGAATCATATTCAACAGTACTTGAAGCTAATGAAGATATTGATGAATTTCAAATATTTTGTGAAAGTTTACAAAGTATGTTATTAATAAGAAGAAAACATGTTCTTATCTCTTATTTTTTTTGAATACTTTTTAAAGAACTTCAATCGGATACAACTGGTTACAATCAAGCTCTATTACAAAATCTTACAGCTGAACAACGAACACAAATTCAAAATATAATTCATTATACAGAAAAACGAAAACAAGAAAAAGGTTTAATTTCAAATTTTCTAAAACACAAAAAATTCATTTTTATTATATTTTATATTAATAGAATCGAATAAACTACGTGAAGCTGGTGGTTATAATTTTTCTCAAGCAGCTCTTGTTGGACAACCAACGAATTTCAATTTTGGTGGTTCAGCAAATACATCATTTCAAAATCCGAAATGATTTTTAGATTATTCTTCATTTTTCTGTTTTTTTTTTTTTTTTTTTTTCATAATACGAATCACTAACATTAGCATGACTATCGTGTATTGGACTATTCTTTTTCTATATACATACACATATAAAGTTCTGCTGAAAAAAAAAAAAAGCTATTTCTTTCTTTTTTTATATATATATATATATAACAGCGATGATGGATGAATGCAGTGCTCTTTTTTTTTTCATGTTCGTTGTATTCATTATTATATGTATTTTGATTGTTATTTTTTGGAAAGAAAGGATATCATACGCTGTTTTGATAAATCTTTATTGAAACAGAACAAGAAAAATTTTACATTCGATAGAAGAAATTATTTCGAATTAATTTTAATTTTTCTATCAAATTAAGATAAAAATTAATCGATTTCAAATACAATTAGACATACATGAATGTACTCATACACATACGCCATTTTATGACTCATACTATTATGTACTATAAAAAACGATGGTTTTTTCCCCATTCAACTCGTACTTTAATTCATATTACTCTTTCTCGATTGACATACCATGTGGGAAATGGGAAAGTTTCTTCAATTATTATTTATATCTCTCTTTTGTCGGTAGAAAATAATTTGCGTAGGAGAGATTTTTCATATAAATACCCCAAGAAACTTCAATGACTTCATTCATATTTTCAAACATCATTTTAAACCATTTCAAGTAAGTATATCGATGTAGAATAACAAGTAATGATGTTCTCCCAGGACGAGCATAAACGATCGTATACAATATCATTTATCATTGCATTCCGCATAAGCTTTTCGTATCTTCTTCTCCCCACTCTCTGAACAATACAGAAATTAATATTTGAGGTACCGAGTCTGGTTGGAGGTCCCAATTCTTTTTTCATCATGCAATTTCAATCACATTTTTTTTTTATATATGATCGAAGTTGCATGATGTAAAAAGAATTAGAATCCCCAGTCAGACTGGAAACCTCTATTTATTTAAATTAATACTTATTGCACTATCCAGGAGGAGTATATAGTTTTTTTTATGAAATTATTCAATACAGTGTTAGCATAATTTTTATATAAAATATTTCTCTGACCAGTTATATGAAAATATATATACATAAATTATTATACAAAATCGAGTATAAAAAAAGTCAAGATGCATATTCACATTAATATATCTAATAAAAATTAAATCTTGAATGAAATAGATTGAGAAAGTCATCTTTTTAGCTCCAAATGGATTCATCAGTGTTCTCAAATATATTACATTTTTTTGCCCCATTGTTTTCTGCATAAAAACTTATTATCATAACTCTTAGTTCTTTTATCAATATCTGTTTTCAACGTTGAACTTTTAGCTGTCGATATCGTAACAGTCTTATTTACAATACATTGATAAAAACAATAAAAATAGACATAAGCAATGTGCAACAATAAGAAGGATTCTACAAAAAATTCAGAGTCGTTCGGCAAACGACTATACAACAATTCTTTTCTTTGATGAACTTAACAAGCTTTTCTCACAATTTGTATTGTAGTGCTCATTTAGTTTTATTACATCTTAATAATGAAACAATCATTTCTTTTATCTAAGTAGGAAAGAGAGAATTAGTGTCCTTTCGGTTATTTTCGATATTAATCAAAAAATCATTTTTTTTTTCATTCGATAGAGATAAATTAGTGTTTCTTTCTTTATATTATTCGATGAGATATAAGAAAATAAACGAATGGTAAAGTAAAGTAATTCGTCAATTATTTTATTCGTATTATTGATAAACATTGCAGTGCGATCGAAATATTATCTCTCTTTCATTGCAATGTTTATTAATAACACGAATAGAATAAAAGAAAAGAAAAGAAAAGAACAATTTTGTACATATTTTTCACTTTCTATCATTTTGTATTGATAATAACCTTGTGTATAGGTGCAAAGCTTCACTATTGTTTTTGAATAAAACTAAATAAAATGATTGACGAATTAGTAGACTTTGCCATTAGTTTTCTTTTGCTTTTATTCTATCGTAATAGAAGTAGTCATTTATTTTATCTAGTAGAGATAGAGTTAGTTTACCTATAGTTTTATTCGATCTTCATACAAATATTCATTTTGCTTATCAAGGACGTTCTATCCAGTAGTGTATTCAGATTTTGAATCGAAAACCTTTCATTTTTCAATTTTTTTTTCTCTTTTTATTCATAAATCATGATAATTATTTTTCATGTGACTAGATTAATTAGTTTATATTTATTCGTATAAATAGGTTTAAATCAGAGTGATCAAAGTACATCGAACAACAAAAATGGCTTCAACATGTTTTCTATTTCTACTGGTTATCGTTTCCGTCGTCAATTGCCTCTGGCAGCCAACCCCTTCGACTACTTGGACATGGCAATTACAGGGTACGATCAACACAGGAAAAAACGTCGCCGTGTATGACATCGACCTGTTTGACGCACCTGTGAACACGATCAATCAGCTGAAGGCAGCGGGCAAGAAAATCATCTGTTATTTCAGGTAGAATTTCGAGAAACTCCAGTTTCCGGTTGGAGCTACTCGGACGAATTTCGTATTCACTCTGACAACAATAGATTCTTATTGAATCCAACTAGAACATTCTTGTTTTTTTTTCTTATGAGATACTGAGATTTACATTATCCCGAGATCTTTTAGTTAACATGTCATGCTTGATGAACAGAAAGGCTAACTTGTCTGCCAGTATTTATCTTTCCGAAGAACTTTTCAAATTGAATTTTTCAATGATTTTATTTATCTGAATTTGATTTCAGCGCCGGATCCTATGAAGAATGGCGTTCAGATGCAAATACATTTCCTGCTTCTGTGAAAGGCAAGAACCTAGACGGCTGGTCAGTATCAATATTCTCTTTGAATTCTTCTATCTTTTTGTTGATAATACAGGCCTGGTGAACGGTGGTTGGACATTCGACAAATACAAACTCTAGGTCCAATTATGAGTGCTCGCTTAGATTTAGCCAAGCAGAAAGGATGTGATTGCGTCGAACCGGACAATGTTGATGCCTATACGTATGGAACTAGTGGAACCGGGTTCCCGCTTAGCTATGATGATCAGCGCAAATATAACATCTGGTTATCACAAAGAGCTCATGAACGAAATCTTTGTATTGCACTAAAAAATGACCTCAGTCAAATTGGAGATCTACTCCAATATTTTGACTGCGCAGTCAATGAACAATGTTGGCAATACAAAGAATGTGACAAACTGTTACCATTCATCAACGGTTAGAATTTCTAATTATGCCATAAACAGTATATTTTAGAAGAATGAGTTCAAAATTCAAAATAGAACCAAATGAAAACATGTTCTACTTGAAAGTTTCTTTTTCTTTTTTTTTAGCCAACAAAGCGGTTTTCAACTGCGAATATGGCACTAAGCCAAACTGTACACAAGCAATTCAAAAGAAAATCAGTTCTATTCAAGCAACACTAGATCTCGACGGAACAAATATGAAAATGTGCAATGCACAAGGACAACTCGTATCATTTTGAAACAAATTAATATTATTTAAACGCAATTTATTTTATGCTCAAATTAGACTTTAAATAAACAAAGACGCTTGAATTAACTTTCAACTATAAAAGAGTGTGCGTGAATAGGAGACACACACGTACACCCTTCTGTATCATTACTTAATTATTCCATTTTTTCTTTTTCGTTTTTTTTCTTATGTTAAATAATTAGTTGATTGGCATATTTGTTTATATATATACGAATAAAGCAATCATTAGTTCTGAACTTCTTTTTCAAAAAAAAAAGAAAAGGAAATCATCTTTTCGAGTTTTACATAGAGTTTTCATTTTCAATGTATTTATCTACAGGGTGCGTAAAAATGTTTTTCCAGGGAGTAACTCTACGGTAACAAATAGTAACCATAATGAATTTTGTACTAAATGAAAACGCGGAAAAAATGGGATATTCTGATGCTAAATTGTGAGGATTCTGAATACTCTTTTATAACGAACATAATTTATCTTTAGAATTTCGAGCTATTTTACTATGAAGAAGTTTATTGCTTGAAGCAGTTCAAAGTGAATCTGATGGGAAACGATCGATAGCATCAAAAGCATTTATTTTTCAAAACTGATTAGTGAAATCAATAATCAGTGTGACCTCCATTTGCATTCCTCACTGCCTGAAGACAGGACGAATATGAACATAAAAGAGTTTCAAATAGTTCCACATTTGATTCCATGTTAGTCAGAACATCTATGAGATGCTTTTTAATGTCCCTTGCTTATAACGATTCTCCACGGTTTCCGATAATATTTTTCGCTCACCTTCATCTTTAATTATTGTTCTAACATGTTCAGCGACATTCAGATCAGGTGAATTGCCAGGCCATGTGTCATTATCCCAAAAAGTGATATCATTCTCTTTAAGCAAATGTTGAGTCATATTCGCACGCATGCATGGCGCTTTGTCATGGACAAATATCACTTGATCAGGATCGATTACATTTTCTTCGTCTTTGAGAAATGGAAACACATGCTGCATCAAAATAAAGTCACGGAAATATTAATCAGTCCAAGATTCACCCTTCTCTTTCATTATCCAATGCAGCTTTTTCGCCGTGAAAATGATAAAAATACCAATACATAATTGGTTTCTTACCATCTCGCGATACCTTTAATTATCTTCAATACTTCTTGCCCAAACTCTATCATTTTGATAATTTGGCCTGCGAATAGTCCAAACATAAAATTCATCCGAAGGTGCGAAATGAAGAAAATCTTCTTGAGTCCAGTCTCTTAGCCAATCACAAAACCACAATCGATCCGAAATATGGGTTTCTGTTTTTAAGGATTTTGGAATAACATGAAATGGTTTCAATCCATCTCTATGGCGGTAATTATCGATTGGTTTTGGTGTAACATACTCTTTGTATTTTGCTGCAATCTCTTTGACCAAAGCATAAGAACTTCTTTTTTTGCTGACCAGTTGCACTGAGAATGAGATTTTGACTGGCATCTGATAATTTCAGTTTTCGACCACACTCGGAATAATCAGCAAAGCAATCATCGTACGATCTCTTCCACCACTCTGACAAATCGCGTACTACGATGAATTTTTTCTGCAATCCATTGGCGATTAATGAATGTTGCACCTCCGTCTCGAGCCTCACGAAAAGCGATACATTTGATTCTGTCGAAGATTCTTTGCTGTTCTGAATCGTAGGTACCAGCCATTTTCAACCAATTAAATTAACTTCAGCCACCAAAAGAATCGATTGTTTTTGTCTATCTACCATATATACCACGAAATAACTTTGTGCTGCTGTCGAGGGTCGTGCAATTTTTATTCTTAGACAGATAGAAAAGAAAAATACCATTTGATAAGAGAATCGAAATGTGCTTGCAGAACGAAAAGATATTCAACAGAGAATAAATAAGAAGTACTGCTACACACTTTCTCTCATTTTACTGGCATACGTAGGAGAAGACGTTGGTGGAAACAGTTGTTCACGTGATGTTCTTGAACAGATGGTTGACATGTGTGAATATTTTCGTTCTGTAGCGAGAGAGAACGATAAATAGAAAAAAAACTATTTTTCATTTATCTAACCAGATTTGATTTATGCAAATATGTTCGTCGCGTGCGTTTGTTGTGATAGTCATATTGATTCAAAGAATCGTCGTCCGTTTCATGGCATTGCAATGCAACTTTCTGTTTCTGCACGACAAAACATATATCTATCAGAATCAGATTATATATGTAATTTGACAATTCATATTGATACTGAAAAAATGGCTCCGGCTCTGAATCAAATAGTGGAGAACGAAGGGACACAAGATTCACTATCAGATCTATATGATCCGATTGGGAGTGGTATGTCCTAGGCGTTATTTAGAAGACAGGCTTTATGCAAGGCCTTATCTTGGCAATTTTGTAAGTCTTAGTAATTGATATTGATACTAAAAAAATGGCTTCGATTTTGAATCAAATAATGGAGAACGAAGGTACACA